ATTTGTTCTTGTGCCAACATGGTCTTTCAGTTTAAATAGCTCTTTTCTGCCTTGGTGTTACCCCCTCCCTCACCCCCCATGTATGTATAGAGAGCAATCATAGTAAAGCAAAAGCTGAGAGGGGCTATGTTGACCAAGCCAAGCTCTTTTAGCCTTCTCCCATACGACTGGTTCTCCATATCCCCGATAATCCTTCTCTGCACCTGTTCCCATTTGAATTCATCTTTCTTGAACATGGTGCCCAGGACTGTACACAGCTATCTAGGTGGGGTCTTGCCAGTTCCTTGTACAGTGGAATTCATAATTCCCTGGCCCTACTGGAAATACCTCTCCTGATCCATCCTTGGAGTGCATTTAGACTGCTCTCTCAATATGCAACATTTAAATTTCCTCAAAACCATTTGGAAGAAGTATTACTTACTTATAGGTGATGTTAAACCCTGTCAAATTATAGGCAGCATCACTAAAGAAATGCAGTAGGACATAGCCAGAAGTGGCTACAACTTCTGGGATTGTTTCATTGCCATCCCTCTCAGGAACAATAAGACCACTGAAAAAGAAAGACAAGGTATGATGTTACATATACAGTCATGGAAGCATAACAATTATAGTAACTCCACTATGCACACGTCTCAACTATGTGTAAAAAATTTAATTCAAGACACAAGCCAGATGATTTCTTAAATTTTATCACTTTGAAGTATTACATATTTACAATAGTAACCAAAGACTTCCCTATAGAAATATTATCAGATTTAGTGTTTTGTTGAAGAAACTCCTTAAAAACATCTTGGGGGGGAAATGATAAAAGCCCTTAACTTCTTAAATATACTGTGGATTTCTCCAAAGCAATTAACTTAGTCTCACATGACATTCTGATTTTAAAAAAATTGCATTACATAGAATTAATAGGACACACAATTAAATAGATTAAAAACTAGCCATTGACAGTTCTCAAAATGTGGTTGTTAATGGGAAGATATCAATGAGTGGGCCATTTCTAACAGGTTACAACAGGGATCAGTTCTTGGTCCAAACCTATTTAGCGTGGTTGTAGTAGTCCCTTCTGACCTTGGAATCTGAATATATGAATTCCCCTTCTCATTCTCTGCCTTTATGGACCATGGGGATTACAGGTTTGCCTGCATTGCTCTCAGCATGCTCTTAACACTTGCAGCTCTGTTCTAAGACAATAACTAATAATACCACCTCCCCCTTATCATAGCACTTTTCATAAGTAGTTCTCAAAGTGCTTTACAAATGAGATTAGTATCATTATGTATAATCAAATCTCATGCTTCAGGGCTTTTGCTGGTCACCTATACGATCAAGAAGGATCTATATTTCTCCCAATACACAATTGGCCAGATGTACTCAGTGTTTCAGCAGGAGGGGGGGAAAACCCAGATAGGCCACTGCGAGAGATGGGGTCTAGCTACAGTCTGATTAAAGTCACCGGGCTCAAACTAGGGCTACCTGGGTGAAATTTAGTGGCTGACAGACACAGGAGATCATACTGAATAATCTAATGGTCCCTTCTGGACTTCAATTCTATTTAAAAAAAAAAAAAAAAAAAAAAAATCTATGAAACACACTATCCCCAACAAATAATTACATATCATAGAATCATAGAATATCAGGGTTGGAAGGGACCTCAGGAGGTCATCTAGTCCAACTCGCTGCTCAAAGTACGACCAATCCCCAAGTTTTGCCCCAGATCCCTAAATGGCCCCCTCAAGGATTGAACTCACAACCCTGGGTTTAGTAGGCTAATGCTCAAACCACTGAGCTATCCCTCCCCCAAAGGCATAAGAACGTATATGAAACAGTCACTACGGTGAAATCAGAATCTTTAGAACTGTGATGCATAAGGCCATTCAGCAAACGAGTATAATAATTTGCAAAATCATCTATTTTTAAATTAAGAATGTCCAAAAAAAAACAAAAACAAAAAACCAGACATTGCTAACATAATAAATGAAAAATACATACTGCTTTTGGTCTTTGTATAATCTTAACTATCACATGTTTGAACTGGTTCCATTTTCTCTGTTGGTTTGCCAGTGATTTTCAGGCATGAAAAAAGCTTGTCATCAAATGAACTGCTGAAACTGCACCTGATTGTTGGTGTGCTTGAGCTTTGCTATGCTGAAGGCTGTTCTACTGAGCTTGGGGCACTTGTGCTGTGAATGGGACTATATGCAAGTTAACCACTGCTCTTACCAATCTGCTTTTGATACGGTCAGAGAGGGTCTATGTGCTATTCTGCATAAACTGGGCTGCCTAAGAAGGTCCATACAAATCATCCATCTGTTCCATGATCACATGACAGAGCAAGTGCTCGCCAGTGGTGACTTTTCTGACACATTTTAAAACTCGAATGGAGTGAAGCAAGGCTGCATACTTGCTCCAGTGCTGTTCAACTTCTTCTTTGTCTGTGTCCTCAGCCATGTCACAAGGGACTTGGTCAGGGGATATATATATATATCTGGTACCGGCTTGATGGCTCCCTCCTTGATCTTCAGAGCCTCAATGCTAAGACCAAGACGCTGGAGAGACTTCTTATCCAGGTATTTTTTGCAGATGACTGCGCCTTGATGGCCTATAGACATGATGACCTTCAGGTCACCATTGACAGATTTTCTGAAGCATCCCAGCTCCTTGGCCTCATCATCAGTCTTGGGAAGACATAGGTCTTGTTCCAATCAGCACCTCATTCCAATGCCCGTGCCAGCCATCTTCATTCAAGGCACACAGCTCAAAAATGTGGATCAGTTCAAGTATTTGGGCAGCACCATCTTGAGTGACAATTCCCATAATAAGGAAATTTCCTCCAGAATTAGTAAAGCCAGTCAGGCCCTTGGTCAACTCACAAAAGTCCTTAACCAACACAACATTCGTCTCTCCACTAAAATGAAGATCTACAGTGCAGTGGTTCTAACATCTCTCCTGTATGGATTGAGATGTGGACTCTCTATAGACATCACATTAAACAGCTTGAGCAATTTCACATGCACTCCCTCCGCTCAATAATGAGAATTCACTAGCAAGACAGAGTGGCCAATATTAAGGTCCTTGAGAGAGCAAACACAACCAGCATTCAGGAAATGTTACTGAGAGCACAACTTAGCTGGACCGGACATGTCATCGGAATGGAAGACCACCATCTACCAAAACAGATCTTCTATGGGGAGCTGAGTCAGGGCAAAAGAAAGAAGGGTCATCCATATAAGTGCTTCAAAGATACTCTGAAGAGCAGTCTCCAGTGGGCTGGCATCAATCCCAAAGAACTTGAGCAAATGGCTCAGAACAGGACTCACTGGTGGTCTTGGACAAGATCAGCATGTAACAGATTTGAGCAGGATCGACAAAATCATCTCCAGGCTATACGTGAATGGCACCACAGAGCTGCATCATCAATCATCATAGATACAGACTCTTCATGCCCTCAGCGCAGCCGACTCTGTGCATCAGGGTTCGAACTTTGGAGTCATGTGTGTAGCCATAGATGAGAACTCCGATAATATCATCATCATCGTCAGCGATGGACTACCAATCTTAACTATGTAGAAAAAAGAATGGAGGTGGGAAAGCTTAAAGGAACCAACTCGGCTCTTGGAAAAACTATTTTTTTTTCCTATATCTGGCTGGAGTAATCTTCAAGATGTCTCAAAACAGAAATTCTACTCAAAGAAAATACTTCCCTCTCTCTCACTCCTCCTTATCACTGTGCCATACAAAGAATTTGGATCATCTAAGGTCACCGAAAGTCTGAGGCAAAATTTTCAAAAGAGCCTAAGTGCAGTTTTCAAAAGAGATTTAGCTCCTAAGGGTCTAAGTCACTGGAAAAATAGGGCTTAGACTCTTTTGAAAATGTTACCTTTCTATACTAACCCATTATTGGGTTTGCTAAAAAAATCTTTGATATCTGAAGAGAAGGGTCAAATTCTTTAAGTTTAACAATGAGAAACTAGTCAGTCCCCCTCCAATAAAGACACATCCAATAAGCATACATCCATTTTTATCTTTATGTATTAAAGCGCTGTATTTAATACCTGTGTTTAATGAACATTCTGCTTTTCTGTTTCTAACAGCAAAACTTTTCCCGCATCTCCATCAAACTTCCTCCCACCCTCAAACTCTATTCTATTTTCCAGCAGGAATATTTTAACAGTAGCTAAATCGAATTTAAATTAAAAATAGAAGAGTCAAATCTTCCCCCCAAAACCTTGACTGGCAAGAGAAAGAACTGTTTCTAAGGAAACTTTAGATGCAACAGTTAGTTCTGTATGCAGGCATGCACCATGTAGAAATCTAGTGTCCTGAAGCTCTCATGTAAAGAAACTGATTCTACAGGGATATGTAGATGAGGGCAGGACTGACTAAAAAGCAATGCTGAAAATGGAACAGTTTCCCAAGTTAAAAATGTGCATTTTTATATTCCCTTTCAGAATCTAAAATAAAACAAATTCATTCAAAGACTCGTTCACAAGGCTACATAAATAGAATGCTCCTATTTATCCTTGAGTTTTCCAGCCCAGGAAAGCAATATGCAGTGAAACTTTTACTAACCACCCTGCTAGTCACAGTTAAATGTCCTAATTGCCTATAAAATCTCAATCCCCACATAAGTACTTCCATATTAATGGTGCTATTATACGATTGCCTGCTTCAACAGCTGGGAATACTACAGACCCTTCCTGCCCATTATCAGAAGTTTTCACTATGTTTTGACACCTGAAAATGAAAACAAGAAGTTGCAATAGTTTGCACCATGCATGTTACAAAGACACATTTTGGCCATGGTAGTACCGCTAAGCTGTCCAAAGACACTACTTGTTAGAAGCTGGCATGTGGCCTGCACCTTACCAAACTAAGTACGTGCTACATGCTTCATTTCATTAACATGCCACAAAATTCTGCATGATCTGATGTTTTGGCTAGACAATTTCCATTCTAGTATGTCCACAAACATGATTTTGTAAAACATTTTTTTGTAAGAAAGCCAGATGCGATTTTTTTATCCCAGATCCTGGAAATTTTAATCGATAGCACCCAATTAATTCCTTTTCATAGTTTATTCATGCATAAGAGACATTTGTTTCATTTTGAAATTTTAGACTGCTGATCTGAAGATGATTTCCCTTGAGATACTATCTTCCAACACATCAAAGATGAAAAGTCTAATAAGTTTCTCTTTGTTGCTTGAGGAGTACCGTTTCACTTTGTAAAAGATGAATACGGGAACAGCATGTCTCTGCCATATGAAAATAGTCATCTCAACATAATTCAGCCAGGGCAGAACAACAACTCATGGACCAGAGGGACAGCATACTTTTCTCTGCCTCTCTAATCATCCACCATGTACTATTAATATCAAAGCATAGCCAATCCAGAATTGGAAGGAATTGGGATCAGCAAAATCAGGAAGAAAATACAGGCAAAAGAAAGGAGTACAGTAATGATAGAGGAGGAACATGGAAGAGAAAGAGTGAATGAGAAGTAATAAGAAAAGGAATAAAACAGATATAAACTTAAGAAAATTACTTTTAAAA